TTATTTGAGGACGTTTGCAGGACATTATTATTATTTGAGGACATCAAATTGAGAAACTTCTGATAAAGAATAGACAATAGTAATTTGGAAAAATGGAATAGCTGATGCGATGCGAGGCTTTACGAAAATCAAAACATCCCTATATCTTTAATTCTGATATCTTTAAACTGATAACAACTAATGATAACAAATGAATAAGTTTTTTCCAAATAAAAAATAAAATTATTAAAATTCGAAATTGTGTTTTTTTCTCATTTAACTTTAATTTAATTTGAAAAATACAAAACCAAATATATAGATTTGATAAAAAAAAAAAAAATAGTGCGCAAAACAAATTGAAAAAATTTCGAGAAATTTATTCAAATTCAAATCGCTTAAGGCAATTTTCATATTTAATTAATTAGTTCTTTTGGCAAAAATTTTAGAAAGTATATATCATATTTCTTTTAAAAATTTTTAAAAATCAATTTTACAACGATTTTGAATTTTTACAATAAAAAAAGCTTAAAAAATTATAAATGCTATGTTATCGATCGAAAAATGAGATTTAAAATATTTTAAAAAAATATTTTTTAATGAAATTTTTCGGCAAAATATAGGAAAAATTAAAAATATTATATAATTTATAAAATGGTAAAACTCGAGGCGAATTTTTCAAATTTTAGAATATTCAATATGGCTTGGAAACAGTTGCCGCAATTAATTACATTTTCAACGATGTCGAAAAAGATGAGAAAAAAAAACTGAAAAATTCTAAACAAAAAAAAAAAAATGTGATTGGCCTCGAAATAAAGAAAGAGCTATAGAAATGACTTTTTTTAATCGCCTGGGAAAAAGAATTATAAAATGAATACAAACGAAAGAAAGCGAATTGGTGTGGAAATTCGATGAACAATAAACAAGTGGAACGAAGCGATTTTCACGATTTCCGCGATTAGCAAAAATTTTTGACAAATAGAATAAAGCAATAATAATAATAATAATAAATGATAATAATAACAATAATATAGATAATGAAAATAAAAATAATATTAATGATAATAATAAATGATAATAATAACAATAATAATATAGATAATGTAAATAAAAATAATATTAATGATAATAAAAATAAATAATAATAATAAATAGTAGTGAAAATAATATTAACAATAATGATAAGCAGTAATAATAATAACATAATAATAATGAATAATGATAATAGGATTGCTTAGTTTGTAGCGCCAAGGTTCGATTCCCCGTAGGAGTAAATCTATACAAAAATCTGGGTGATGCTCGCGACTCACCTATACTTCTATCCATTTTACCCATGGACTACCACCCCTGGCATAATGCTCAGTTGCGACAAGCAAGTGCAGCGAGTTTAACCAGTAATGGTGAATATGTTCAACAATAATATGTCCTAATTTATGTCCTAATAATAATAATAATAACCAAATCAAATATATTCGAAGAGATTTTGATGGATAACAACTTTCTGGATTTTCTAAAGGAAATAAACGAAATTATTTTGATTTTATTCGAAATTTTTTCAATCAATTGCATAATTTAATTTCAGACGAAATAAACATATTTATGTCCCAAAATCCTAATAATTTTCCTAAGTGCATTTTTCGATGATTTTGCAAAATCGAAGCAAAAAAAAAATTTCTTTTTTTCCTTCAAAAATGAATGGATTTCGTTATTTTTCGTTAAGCAAATCGATCTTTTTCATTACTAAAAATACGGATTTCGGTTTTTCTTTTTTTTTTGCGAAACTACTGACAATTTTTTTGCATGCAAAATTGCAAAGGACTTTTTAAAATAAGAAGGAATTTTTACAGTTTTCGAGAAGAATGAACTCTGCAAAACTCCGCCAATAAAACCGATCCTATTTTTTCCTTCAACGAGAAGAAGAATAAATTTCGCTAATTTTGTAAAATTAGAATCAAACGATGTTTTCAATCACCGCGGAACGAATAGAGAATGAGAAATGATATCGAACAAAAGTTTTATCAAAATTTATAAAGTAGTTTCTTAAGAGAGAAAAATGAATCGAATAAGAAGGAACCTAGTAAAGCGGCGGCGCAATTGCCTAGTACCACAACGAGAGTTCCTTAAAAGATTGACAATGAAAGCGTGACACCCGTGAATTATTCAATTAATGAACGAGTCATGGAAGAATCAATACCGTATTGAAAGAAATCAGATTCACCAAAGGATAAATATGATGGGAATTGAACGATTACGCAATAAATAAAGAAAATAAAGATAAATCGTTCTTGAGCGTAAGTAATTTTATTATATTATTAAATTATTAAAATTCTTTCCTACATTTTCGATTGTTTTTCGTCATTAATTATTAAATAATAGTAATTATTAAAAAATAATAATTAATAATAATTACTAAAAAAAATAAAAAATAATCAATACTATAGGAAATTTTTAATGGCCTAAGCAACTACTCTCTTTGGCTAATCTCAGAGTTATTGATACGGTGATAACTAACAGCCACTTTTAACTTCGTCGAGGTAGACGAGGTTAAGCGTTATTTCTTTTTTTAAGTAATGTACATATCGCATAAAAGTATTGTATATGCAGCAGTTCCCGCTTAAACTTGCCCGAAATCGCATGGTGACATAAGTACAAATGGATCTTAAAGCAGGCACCGCTGGATTTTATTTTTAATAGGCTTACTCTCCACGTTAGTGAAAACAATACAAATTCACCTCGGTCTACTAAATTTTCAAAGTATACATAGTTCGATCGACGACTTCTCACGAGAAAAAATTTGAAAGGTTCATAGATCTATTCATGCATAAATAATTTAACGATTGACGACGGCAACGACGGCGACGGCGACCTTATCTATAGCGACATTTTAACGACGACTATAGATTAGCCTTAAAAGCACTAAGAAATCCCTTCTATAAAGATTTGTTGCCTTTTTATTGACGAAATTTTTGCAATTATCCATTAATTTACTCGTCGATTCAAAATGATTCAAAATGATTAAATATTTTTTTAAAAATATTTTATTATATAAAATATTTAAAATATTGAATACTATTAAATATTATTAATTAATTATATTAATTATAAATATTATTAAATATTTACAAATATTATAATTATAAATATTATGAAATATAAATATTATTAATTATATTTATTAAAAATATTTTATTATATAAAATATTTAAAATATTGAATACTATTAAATATTATTAATTAATTATATTAATTATAAATATTATTAAATATTTACAAATATTATAATTATAAATATTATTAAATATAAATATTATTAATTATACAATATTATAAATGTTATATATAATATAATTAAATATTATTAAATATTTTACTTGACGAAAATTTTTTTTCATATCTTTTTTTTTCATAATTCAAAAATTATTAAAATTCTTAGTTTCATTGCTAAAAATTTTTATTCATAAATTTTACCAATTAGAATGTTTCAAACTCGATTTATTTCTTAGAAATATTTCTTCGAATAAATTAATAAATTTTCTTGAAATTAAAAATTTCGCGGTTTCTTCTCGCATTGTTTCGTTATAAAAGTAAAGAATTTTTCAAATTTTTATTCTAAACAACATGGCCTTTTATGGCCTTAAAATAGCCTCGGGCCTTCTTTAAAACCTGGCCTTGGCCTCAAAATAATTACCCACAACACAAGTGAAAGCCGATAGTGCAAAAAAGCAACTAAGCACTAATAAGTTATACCTTTTACACAATAACAGCACCTTTCAAAATTCGGCACACATTGATTATTGGTTCATTCCAAGTTTAGCATCGAATCTTATGGTTTTATAACAAAAAACGTTTATGTTTTCATTCGAAAAAAGAAAGAATTATAAAAAAAAAAACCTTCAATATTAATTATGACATAAAAAATTTAAAAACAATAAAAATTTCTTTAAAAATTTAAAAAACAAAAATTTCTTCAAATTAAAATATAAAATAAGGAGAAATATGATATACAATAGAAAAAATATGATATACAATGAAGAAATACAATAGAAAACAGAACACAGCCAAATCCCTAATGGACTTTAATATCACAATCAATTCAATTTTGTCTTGAAAAATAAACTGAAAAAACCTTCACACCGGTAAATCAAATTAGATTTTCTTTAAAAATTAGAGAAAAACACTCATAAAATATTAAATATTAATGTTAATTTATATATTATATGGCCAGTGCATATCTGTCTTTTTGGATGGAACTGATCTCTGTTCAGAAGCACATTGCAAAGAGCAGCTAAAATATTGTGCAGAATCATCAAGGTCCCACGCATCTCTGGGTGGAAAACCTGAGGCTGAGGATCTTTGCCAACCACAGGAAGTGAGAAAGGGATTTTTTTTTTTTTTTTGAAGTAATTCAACGAATAGATGAGCAAAATAAAAAAACTGAAGAAAAAATCAACTGTGATGAAGCAATTAAAATGGAATTAAAATGACGATAAGATTATCGCAAATTATATAATTCTATAGCAAGGAAAGATTTTTCAATTCCAATAAGGTAAAAAAAAAATAATATAATAATTATAACCATAAATTATTATGACGTAACCAGAGTAATGAATAATTCAAATCTTATCTTTCAACGAATAATTATTATCACATTTATTTATTATAATAATAAATAGTTGTAATTATTATAATAAATTCCAGCTCCGCTTCTCCATATCTAGGTGAACTGGGCTATGAGTTATCAAAAATTCTGATTTCACTAACTTACTGCAAAAAAGAAAAGAATTTTTAATAAACATCGGAGTACAATGAATGAGCCTGCATAAATTCATTGTGGTATAAAAGAATAAAAACGAGAAAATTTCGCAGTTAGAAAACAAAATAATCTAGAATAAACTTTACGAATTAATAAGAAGCTAAAACAAAGTCTTGGAAATTGAAATTAATCAAATCCAATTAAGAGCAAACAAAGTTCATTAAATTTCTAGTTTTAATACCACAAGAATCATATTCAGCCTACATATGATTTAATCAATTTTAACTGCTCCATATATTCTACAAATAAATGAATATGCAGCATAGAAACCAATCGTTCCTGTTAGTATCGAAAATGTAAGCGCAATCAGAAAACTATAGCTAAAATATAGCAACGTAGGGATAAATCCAACGATGTTGAGCTGAAATAAATTCGAAATAAGAAGAGAAAATTCCATGAAGATTTGAATAATTCTAATTCGAGAAAAAAATAATTATTCTTTAAAAAAGGAAAACAAAAAACCTTAGAGAAGAAGTAGAAAATCGAATACCCCATTACTGAAAATTCAACACAAATATATTCGTTGTAAAAAACAAAAAAATGATAAAAAATAATAAAAATTATTAAAAATTATTAATAAAAATTATCGAATTTAGAAGAAATAACATTAATAAATCAATAAATTTAAAAAAGAATTGAAATAACGTTAAAAATACCATAAATTGCTGAACCACCACTGATTACAAAAGATTTCCACCACCAATGGTAATTCTAAATAAAATCACAAAATTTAGCGTTTTCTGTTTAAAAAAATTAAATCTATTTAAGATCTATTAAAAAAAAAATAAAAACAAAGAAGAAACCTCTGCACAAAGTAAAAAATATGCGACTACAATTGATATTTGGGCGCAAGAAACGAATAAAATGACGCAAACAATAAATAAAAATCCAAACAAATAATAAAAATGATTCTCCCATATCGCCTAAAATTTATTTCATTTTTTTAAAAATAAAAAAAATAAAATATACATGCCAATATTAAGAGAATTTTACGATTACATAGAAAAAAATTATGGTATATATACCGAAAAAACGAAGAAAAGTTCAATGAAAACGGCGCCAAATGGTAGAATACCAGCAAGAAGCATACATGGTAATGTATGCAAATACCATGGCTGGTCGGGCACCTGGCGAGGAATCTGATTTGTTCGCACTGGATGCGAATACGGCTAAAAGACAAATTATATTTCAATCGCATGATGAATTAAAAATTGATAATTAAATCAACAAATTTTATGCTGTCTATGTTTTTAAAATTTTTCTATCTGGCCTAGCAATTCTATCAATTTGAATTGGTATTTTTGCTAAAACTATATTTTTGTAAGAAAATTTTCACGAACCTGCTTGCGATATCCAAAATGAAATCCAAGAAATACAAGGGGTAAATCAACACCAAACCAAAGACAAAGAAGTGCAATCATAGTTGTGAAAGGAATAGCACCAGAAGAACGCTTGCCAATTAAAAAGAAATTCAAAAGAAATCCAACACCAAGAATAATCGAGGGAAACAACATAGCTGTCCAAAAAGCACATCGCTTCGGATTAGCGCCTCAAATATAGTTCAGGAATGACCAATAATTTGACCACTTTCGTAAATGAAGTTTACTTTTTTTCATTTTTTTTTAAATTTTCTACCTTTAATGGTGCGGTAAAGACGTCCCGCATAATAACCAGCGATAAGTCCCATAAAACAATAAAGAAAAATTGCAGCAGACATTAGAGAACCGCGACTAGCTGGCGATAACATGCCTAACATTGCAAAAAATACGGTGATTGCAACCATGCCAATAAGCTGAATTCCGGTTCCAACAAAATTGACCAATAACATTGAATTAGGTGGAGCACGAAAAACATCTCCATGCACTAATTTCCAACCAGACTCTTCCAAAGTATCATCCTCAAAATATAAATATAAATGAAAATAATTTAGGCTGAAATTGGAAACTTGCTTTGTAGAATATTTATAATATTTATATTAGTATTTTCTTCTCATAAATTATCTAAAGGAAAATAAAAAACTACCAAGTCTTCATCCTTATTATATTGAGCAATATCTCGACGTACGGTCCGTACGATAATTACACTTAAAAAACCTGCAAAAAATAAGGGTTTTTAAAATTTGCAAAAATAACTCGTACATGAAATTTCGTTTTCTATGAAATATGATAAATCAATTTGTACTATTCTCAAATTAACTCAAAATCAATAATCGTTTGTTTGTAATGCAATATAGAATAATACTAAATGAATATTGCAATGTATTAGTTGCATAGGAATAGAATGTTTATATAGGCTTCCATTTACTATTACGCCATACATACATAATATTTATGAGTTTGGTTTTTCAGAAACAGTAACTCAAATTAATCCATAATCTGCTAAGCAAACACGGCTTTGTACTTTTTATTTTTTGACATAAATTGCATTAAAATGACAGAAATATTAATCCTATTAAAGCTACAAAATTTTAATTTACCACTACTTCAATCTTTATAGAAAAAAAATGTTTTGAAAAACTATGAAAAAATATGAAAATAGAAAACAAATAAAATAAACCTGACAGACAAATGATAACAATGACGGAATTCAAAATAGAGAACCAGTGAATCTGAACATCTCTCATCGATAAATATATGTCCCATCTACTTGCCCATGGCACGTTGCTTTCAGTCCATCGTACTGAATATGTCCATGTTATTTTATTTCCCTCCTTCTTCAATTCTTGATTCAGACCACTTGGACTAATCTCACATTCCTAAAATAAAAATCAAAATTAGTTTAGTTTAATTATTTATTCAATTATTTGAAAAAATTTAGCACAAAATTATGATATGAGATTAAATATTTGAAAAACGAAATTGAAGAGAAATTATTAAATGAAAAGAAAGAAATAAAAATCTTACTCCATTTTCTTTATTAAAATTCAAGCGACTATAATCGATGCTTCTTGGTACTACTTCAAATCCAACAACTCGATATAAATCCGCAGCCGGCTGATGATATTTAAGTTCAATATCTAAGTGGTTATTTAAATAATAATGTCCATCTTTGACCCATCCTAAACGATATCCATGTTCATAAACTGGCTCAGTTAAGCCTTCCACTTCGTATTTTGTTGCACATGGAAGATTATCCACAAGACTAAATTATAATTTAGATTAAAATTCTGAGCCCAATTTGAAATGAACGCGAGAGAAGACATAGAAGACATTAAATGCTTTAAATTTCGAAATTTAGAATTCTTAAGTAAAGTCTTACTTATTGCCTTTAAATTTTTACCCTAAAACAATTCATGTTGCTTTTATTGCCAACAAAAAAAGAGGACATATGGAAAAGGATATAAAAGGAAGGGGAAAAGAGGATATCTGCACTATACCATGGATAACAATGCATAATTTAATTGCAAAATCTATAAAACCAGATAATGATGATACAAAAACTACATTTTTGGGCAATTTATCACAATAGTAGTTGAAATTATGTATGAATTTATAAATTAAATTAATTAAATTAACTAATAAAAATAAAACAAAATTAATTAAAAATTAAAATTAAAATGAAATTAATTAAAAAATAATTAAATAATTAAAATAATTAATATTAATTTAAAATTAATTAAATAATTTTTAAATTTATTTATTTATTTAAATTTGTAAATTTATTTAAAATTATTTATAAATTTATTTATTTATTTATTTTTTAATTTATTATGAATTTATAATCAAATTCGTTTAAGTAAACGAATCGCTTTAGTAGTTTAATAGTTAAATAAACTACAAAACTATTATGAAACTGACAGTTCATAATTTCTTAACTGACAGTTTCATAATTTTTTTTTTTTTCAATTCGACATCTTTATTAAAACTCAAATTTAAAGAAAAATTATGGAATTATGGCGATTATCACACCGGCCTCCACGGAATAGTCCTCTCCCGCAGTGGATATGAATCATACAACTTGAAAATCTACATATAATTAACAGTAGGAATTTGTATTTAACAGCATAAAACAGGATTTTTGAATGCTTTCAGTTAATTTATTTTTTTTTTAAGAGTCCTCACCATCACTGGTTAAACTCGCTCCACTGCCTTGTCGCATTAGGCAATATGCCAGGGAATCCCTGGCGATAGAAATACGGGTAAGTCGCCAGCATCATCCGGATTTTTGTACAGGTTTATTCCTGCGGAGAATCGAACCTCAGCGTCGGCGCTCGCAATTGAGCAACAACCCACTGAGTCATTCAATCCTCAAGTTATCATCGAAAGGTACCGTATAGATGAAAAAGATTGATAAATATTTTGAGCCACATTGATTTAAAGCGATTTTCAAAAAAATTTAATTAATTCTAACAGATGAACATGATATTCTTCCCAAATTCTCCTTAAAAGATTTACAGATTCTTCTTCATTAACATTTACTGTTTCTCCTTCACTAACGCAAGCTGTAGCACATTTGATGTCTTGCTTCATAAAAATCTAAAAAAAATTTCAATGTTTGAATAATATAATATACTTTATTAATAACTAATAGAATATTTCATTTGTATAAGTTTTAGAAAAATATTTTTTATAAAAAATATATTAAAATATATTAAAATATATATTTAATATATTTTATAAAAAATATATTAAATATATATTTTTTATAAAAAATATATTTTTATAAAAAATATAAAAATATATTAAAAATATATTAAAAATATATTAAAAATATATTAAAATATATTAAAAATATATTAAAAATATATTAAAAAAGAAATATAAAATTACATTAAATGGTGTATTGACGATTCGATCACCTCGCATAACTTCTCCAAGATTTTCTGAATTGTAATGAATTTCGCCTTTCGGTCGACAAAATGGTAATGAATAATACTCATATGGTACGATCGTCTTCGTTGATGTTATTTTAATGCCCTGAAAGAAATACATTTAATACATAAAAGAAAGAAAATTGTTGTGGATGAAAATTCACTAATTCATATTGATATGAAAATTAAATCCAATATATAAAATAATATTATTTAATATTAGAAATGATTTAAAATAGAGTATGACAGAGAAATGCAATTAAAAAATTGAAAATTAATCATACAACAATGCTAACATAAATCGAATAGAAAATATTTCTCGAAGAAATTTTCGGTCGTCAATATTGAAATTCTATTTCCAGACTCAAAATTGGTCGTCCGAGTGATACTGTCGCTTTATGTACAATTCTTTCATCAATTGACCCCTGTCGAAATTTCTTTGGTCCTCAGTAGACTGGAGAAGCGTGTCTAATCAAAAACAGCGAGCACTTTTAAAAAAAAAAAAGCGATCTGATTTTTTCATTTTTAGCCTTTTTTATTGTGCGTGAAAAATATTAAAATAAAAATAAATGTAAAAAAATGTAAATATTTTAAGAAAGGCAAAAAAATAAAACTAAATAAAATAAAAATAATGTAAAAATCGTAGGAGAAATTTATAAATTGCAATTTTATCACAAATAAAATTCACCAAAAATTCGGATGAAAAAATTTTAAAAAAATGATAGAAATAGCGAAACAAGAAAGAAAAAATGAAAAGCCAAAAAACAAAAGTAACAAATAAGAACAAATAACATACAATAAATATAAATAACAAATAAAATAACAAATATTGTAATTTTAGGTTAAATTTAAATCCAACAAGAACTAATGGGCTAAAATTACTAAAACCTATGTGTAAAACTAAACTAAGGACTCATGATTTCTTTATTCATAGTATTAATTACTGGAATAAACTACCGAACGATATAGCTTGTGCGCAATCCCCAGCTATCTTTAAAAAAAGAATAGATAATATCAGTTATGATATTATTTAAAAAGTTCAGATCATGCAGGAAGTGTAAAATCTCGATTTTTGCCATCTGATTATAGTCATTTCGAATTGTACTATATTGTATTATCTTGTAATTTCCTCTTTTTTTCATCTTTAAATTGTTTATTTTATTTTATTAGTATTTTTTTTGTCATTAATTCTTATTATGTTATTTTAACTGTTGTTATTAATACAAGCAGATGGCGTTTGCGCCATCCTACTTGGCTGGTTTTCAATAAATAAGAAATCGAAAACAACAAACCTTAACTTCAATTTGCTCACCGACTTTAAAATCAACAGGCGCTACTCCTGGCACATAAAATCCTTCTTCTATTATAAAACTATTGTAGAATAAAAGTAACATTAAAAGATTTCGGCATGATCGTCGCATTCTTTTCTAATAATGTTGATTTTTGGTTAGGAAGAAAATAATGCTTTAAATAATGGAGTGGCCCTGTAAAAAGAAACCATAAAAAATATTTTATGAATAATAATCATTTAAAAAAAACCAACAATAGTAAACACTCTTAAATATGAGATCGAATCGAACATCGTGGAAATGCCTAACGCTTTCAGCCAACGGGACTAACTAACCTAATGGTGAGAACTGAAAAGGCAATTATATAAAAATGAACCATTTCGAAGAATTTTGAAAATAAAAAGAAAATACTAAAATTCAAAAACCACAAATGGAAAGAATAAAAGCATTTGGCATTGTTTAGCATTTCAACCACATTAACGCCGAGGTTTCCTTTCCACTAAAGCATGGACAGCCTAGTTGGCAATATGCTATTTGGCGGAAAGCAGGATCATTGTTCCTTAAGAATTTGAAAACTTAGAAATGAAATCTAACAAAAAATTATTGATTTAAAAATCACACTCTAACCGCATTAATCCACAGACATTTATGTGTGAAATATAGAAATCTGACTATTGAAATTTGAAAACTACAAATCAAAACCTAAGTACCACAACCTGGAAGAATTTAAAAGATGAAGGACCGATTTTAATCGATCATCAACTCATAAATATGCCAACGTTGCCAACAAGAAATCTAAAACTCGGACGCAGATATTCCAAAAATGGAAGATCGCTTCGGAACAACGCGGTTGTTGGCCAAAGTCTAAATTTCTATTTGTAATGGCCAATGATAGGTTGGCCGAATGATTCCATAACAGCTGTGCAAAAATCATTTGAATATTTAATTTTTATGCAGTAAAAAATCAATAGAATGGCGCTTTCACTTGGTTGATTTTCAGCAGAGTACCAGAGTCGCATAAAATAAAACGTATGGTACTTTACCAGTTCCAGATTTCTCAAATTAAACTTTTCAGCACTTTACGTGCTAGTGAAACTGTCTATTCTGATTGCAGCACAGCCATGCTGAGCAAAGATTCACGTTAAGGAGGATGCTGGAACATCGCCTCAATGACGCTTGTTTCATCGATTTTGCCAGGCGCCTTTGATTCAGTTGATAAAAGAGCGCTTTGGAGAGTGATGGAACGTGACGCTATTCCATGAAACATTCGACTCATAAAGGCATTTATCAGCGTGCACCCGGCAACTGACCTATGTGTGTGTGGAACTGATAGACTTTTTCGAAGTAGGAAATTGTGCTTGCAATTGCGAAAGTTGCGAAATTTCCTTATAAAACAATTTTATTCAGCTTGCAATTTTCTTATCATTTTTTTTTTTAATCAATCAGTTGGAAATTGATTTCAGGTTTTATTTCATTCATCTCTGCCATATTTTAATAAATCAACTTGAATACAGATGGATTAGCGAATTGCTCCGCTTTAATATTTTTCATCCGCATACTACTTAGGAATCTTTTGTAAAATACTAAAACTGTAGTGGAACTCCTAAAATCTGAATATCTATGCAGATGATTTCTTGATAAGGCCGAAATATGAATTATTAGTCGCAGTTCGCTTGTGATTCCTTTAATTAAGAATTATGAAAATATTATTATGAAAATAGTAATTTGAGCTAAATTTTTTTGAGATAGTTGGTTTGGGTGGTTTAAATGATGGACTTGTATTTCTTGAGAAATGTATGGATGTCTAACCTGGATGTCTAACCTGAAGTTTAGCCTGGATTTGTCCAGTTTTTAATTATGGAATAATTATTTATAATTATTATTCATCATAATTATTTTGAATACAAATGAATTTTCGGATTATCACATCCTCGTTCATCCTCGTTAAAATTTGGCTGAGCATTGCATGGAATTTGGCTGAGTATTTGGTTGATGCAAATAAATTATGAACTTAAAAATGATTTGAAAAAAAGGAAATCGTCTCGATCAGCATTTGCAAACGAGAAAACCAGTTTCTTTTCCATTATTTTCCCATTTTTCACATTTAGCAATTGCCGCACAACTGTTATTTGTAGTTAATCGTGAAACAATACAACCTAAAATATTGCAATGCTTCTAACAATGGAAATTTTTTAATCGACTGGGATATAGAATGGCTCAGTGGGTTGTTGCTCAGTTTGGAGCGCTGATGTTGAGGTTCGATTCTCCGCAGGAATAAACTTTTACAAAAATCCGGGTGATGCTTGCGACTCACCTGTATTTCTATCGCCAATAGACTCCCTGGCATATTTGTCTAATGCGACAAGCCAATGCTGCGAGTTTAACCAGTAATGTTGAGGACTCTAAAAAAAAAAAAGACTTGTTAATAGGCCCTTTAAATATTTTATATATTTTTTCATCCATTCGTTTAATCCGTCTTGCATTGGATTTTCTTTCTTTTTTCAACATTACTGTTTGGACTCGCTCCGCTGGCTTGTCGCACTGCACAAATATTCCGCTAAGGAATCTCTTAGCGATAGGAGTACAGGTGAATCGCCAGTACCTGGATTTTCATCTGGCCATCTGGATTTCTCGACAAGTCTCCCTCCTGGATTTTCTCCTGGTTCCACTAGGAAATCTCTTAAGCAAATCTCATTTTATTTCTTCTAGTTTTTTATTTTTGTACAATTTTTTAAAAATTTAGCTTAAAGTCAATTGTAAAAAAATAGCTCCATATGTATAATCTTCGCCAATTTTTCGCGAATCCTTATTTGTTCAAAACTTTAAACCACATATGTTCACATCCCTTTTGAACCAAACCTTGTAAAAATATAGTTCCATGTCTGGAAATTCGAGAAAATTCATTTTGCACGTTCTACTCGCGTATTTCGTTTAAAAAAAATATTTGAAATAACTTTAAAATTAATCAATTTTTCTTTGTTCTATGGAAATTTACCATTTTTAGCTGAAATATTTCCTTTTCCGATATTCGCGCATTCCGAATTTATTTGCAATATCAAATATTTTTTTTTAGTGGTCGAGGAAACTTTTCATTGCACTATTCACCTATAAATTAGATTTTAAAAAATTATTTTTTATTTCCTTAATAATGCTTTATAAATAAAAATAATAGTGGAATAGATCATTTTTAATTCGTAATTTTCAATATAAAAAATATATTTAACAACGAAAAAAATTCCTATAAAATAAAAATTTTTAACGAGAATTTCTTTTATGGCAAAACAATCGAGAAAATCGCACCGAAATTTCTTACTTCTTTATATTTTTAATATTTTTAAAATTTATAATGATATTTAAAATATTTTTAATATTTATAAACTTTATTTATAATCACTGAATTTCAAATAAAAAATTTTCGAAACAACTAATATAGTAGAAAGAATGAATGATATTAATGAAAAATATTTTTGCTATTCTAAATACGAATATAAAAAATTTTATTTTATTTTTATAAAAAATAAAAAATAATTGAGTTATTGCAAAACAACAACGAAAGTGGAGAGCAGTTTCAGTACTATCGTAAAAATGGATCTGAACCAGTAGTCAGCTTGCCTTCTCAACAAATTAATTGTCGCTCAGTGAAGGATCAATGCAGAGGAAGATTGACAAGGCAGTTTTATGAGTGGTTTAGAGTGGGTACATCGTAGTTTTCGTCGTAGTAGAGGTACTTTAAAATAGCGAATCAGCAAAAAAAGATTTAAATTGAAGACGATGGCACTCATAAAGAAAGCAAAAAGAGCCAATGGAGTAGGGAAAATTACAAAAAAATTATCCAATGTTCTCAATGGTCCAATGAAGGATGTGAAATCCTTGCGGACGGAGAATCCAAAAGCCTTTTGCTTTGAGGTATTTCGCAAAAATATATATCCAAAATTGATTTGATAAATTTTTGATAAATTCTGAGTTTTTAATAAATTACGATTTTTTCTATAGAATCGAACCGAAATTTATTGCTTAGTTTATGGATGAATTAAAGTTTTTATTCGATGTCACAAAATGGATGATTTTTTCTTCGATATCAAAAGGAGTGACTTTCGGGGTCCACCTGAACTAACATGAAGGGGGTCCTGATTAACAACACCATCATAAAGAAATTGGTGAACTGGTTCATCGCCCAATCACCCATCCTCCTCCTCCTTGGTTCACCTGAATAACCATGCAATTGCGGATATAAACTTTGGATGCACTGATAATTCTTGCTGCACTTCTTTTTGATCTCTTTTTCAATATCATTTGATTTTGAATACTATCAATTTTTTGAATATTAAAATCACTTTTTCCTATTACCAATACCATATGAATTATTCATTTAACACCATGTGAAACAGCACAGTTTCGCTTATGTAGTAAGTCTCTCGGATCCTATTTTCCGCAGGAGTAAATCTGCTGGATTTCTGGATATTACTGGCCATCGTCTGTGTTTCTCACAGATCTTTCATGTTTTTTTTTTACTATATTCCTTTTTATCGAATACTTTCCAACTGAATTATCGAGAATTACCACAAATGTGAAGCAGCTCTGAATGAATGCGAAAAAATCTCTCAAATTTGTGGATTACAATAAGTATGTGGAATTCAACGAGAAAAAAAATCCTGAAAATTAATCGATGCTAAATTTGCGGTTTTCACCACTTATCCGAATTCAAATTGGTGAAAATTGGCTAAAATTTTGCATAACGAAAAGTGTTATTTGAATTCCAATGAATTATCTCCTTAGAAATTATAAAATGGTTCAAATAAAATAAACCTCATGAAAATCTAAAAAATCTGATTTCGATTGAATATAAGAAAAAATTTTTAAGATATAGCATAGCTTAGTGGAGTTACCACTTCTTATTTCGAAGTGGCGATATTGGAGTTCCAATTTCCAGCAGAAACAGAAATTTTATCGATGATGCTGGCGACTCATTTTTATATTTTTGTTTTGTCCTCTTCGGAAAATTTCTAAAAGCCTGCGAAACTAATGTGTATTTTTGGAAAAAAAAAAACTAAAATTTATCAAAATTAAATGGAATATTAAAAAATTTATAAAAAATTTATAAAAAAAAATTTTCCCAAAATTTTGTTGTAATTAATTTACATAAATATATTTAAATATATTTATATTTAAATTATTTATTCACAGGAAGTTAGGAAAAACTATTGCCGTATTATGAATGAAGCAAGACGATTATCCGAATAAGCAATCCTAGCAATTGATCGTAATTTAACTAAAACAATTGCCGATGCTCAGTCTGCCTTAGGCATCGTTAAAGCAAATTCGTCTTCATAAAAGTGCCTAGAAAAAATTGGTGGTTCAGCCAATTTTTTGTCTCATATCTACAGAACTAATTCAAATAGGCTTTTTTCCTAATTTTATTATCTCCTCCTCCTTGGTTTGTTTTAGTTGACAAAAAAATAACCACAGAAAATTCAATTATAAATTTAAATTATGGATTTGACGGAGTTTTTCTCTTTATACGATGTTTTCTTTTTCCATTTCAATTTCATTCAATTTACTATCGAATTCTGAATTTTTTTTTTTCGGATTGCAAGTATTACATAAAATTATCATTTTTTTTAATCATAAAAGAGCCATAATTTCGGCGGTTATATAAATGAAGAAGCTTTTTGAATCCCATTTTTCGCAAGGATCAAACTGTTTAATTAAAAAAATCCAAATGATACTGGCGATAATTTCATCGATCTTTTATGTTCCTACTAAATTTCCTTTATCGGACAAATTCTATTTGAAAGAGAACTATCGCAAAATTTTTTTAATGCAATAGTCGAAAGCTTTTTAAATGAATACTAAAAAATACAAAATATAAGAAAAATTAATGGATTTAGTGGATTAAATTAATTTACCAAAAAAAAAAATCCAAGAATTAAACTAATGCAGCTTCGCGATTAAAAATTTGCATGCCCAAATGCATCAGTTCTTTTACCATTACTGATTAGGCTGACTTCGCTAACTATAAGGATATTTCCAAGCTGCTCGATTTGATGTTATCGCCGATAATAATAGAAGCTATTCCTTTTTAATTGCCTAAGTCCATATATCGCTTATCCCCCATATATATTCAAAATCTTTTCTACCAGTCCAAGTCCTGACTGGAACTATAAAAGGAATAGATTAAAATCTGAAATGATTTTGATTGAAGTAATATTGAAATGACTGAAAAATATATTTTAAAAGCGAAATAGAACAGTGAGCTATCGCTTTTCCCTCTGAGCGAAGATGATGGAGTTCCATTCCCATCAGAGATAAATTTTCAGAAATCCGAATGAAATTAGCGACTCATTTCTTTCTCGAATTAGATTCTCGAGAAAAATTTGCTAAGCCAACGAAGCGAACCTAACTATAAATCTTTTTATAAAAAAGGAAGAAATGATGCAGAATTTTTAAATTTTTGCAAAAATTTTGTTTTATGATTTATAATAACTAGCAAATAGATTTAAAAGAAAATTATTGTTAAAATCAATTATTGATCTAAGAATGGAATGATACGATTATCCATACGATAAGAAAATTGCATGGATCTTAATTTAATCAAAAGATTATGCAGAATATTACTCAGAGATATGATATATATACAATTTTTATATCGGTTTGATCCTAAATATTATTTAATTTAAAAAAAGTGTATAATAAAAATAAAAATGGCTTTAAATTCAATGAACAATGTTAAAAAATCACTATGAATGGCTTCAAAACGTCAGCATACTTGTTTACCTGGCTCAGCCTCCTATATTTTATTTCTAGCATTTGCTGAAGTTTGATAGAAATTCCACGGACTGCTTTATATGATCCCAACACATCATTATTATTGTCGCTATCATTAAGATATATTTTCCCATATTTCTTGGTAATTAATTTCTTGGTAAATAATTTTTTTTTAAAAAATAATAAAAATAATATAAAAAACAAAATTAAAAATAAAATCGAAAAAATTAAAATAGGTTTTTTTCATAGAATTTTCCATAAATTTTTATCGATTCATTTTTTCCAACAGCACATCAATCAATTTAATTAAACTAAACATTAATTAAACTAAGCTAAATATATTTAAAATTAAAATCACCATGAAAATAAAAAAGATAGCCAAAAAAATCGCAAAAAGATAAATGGTACCTAGGTGTTACCTTACCATCTTATTATTCCTGTTTTTTTTTTAATAATGGAAAGAAGCCTACATTATTAACATTATTGTTGTTTTTCAGAGGTAGGAAAGGCAATATATTTTAAGTGATCCTTTCTAAGATAAAACAATAAATATTTTTGAGAAATTCGTGATAAAATATCGAAATTTACAGTCTACGAAAAAACAAAAAAAACGAACAAAAGTGAATAAAAATCAACTTTAAAGCTTCGGTATTTGCTTCATCAGAAAGTTCTTAACGTCAGACAATTCCTATAAAAGAATTTTTAAACAGCATCTAAAGGAATTTGAAGAAATTCTCTTGTTCAAGAATATCATATCTTTCAAATTTGACGCGGAAAGTTTCAATAATAAATTCGTGGAAGGGTGAGAAATGTATTTAAAAACAAAAATGGATGAGCCAATAGAAAATAAATTTTTTTAATATATATAATAAACTTACTTCTGGACAACTCGAATGTGCCATTCCAGGATAAATTTTTATGTGAATGTTTGGATCGAATGTTTGAATGAATTGTGCGGTCATTTCGCCAAATGTTCTAGGGACAACAAAATCTGCGTCACCATGACCCATTAAAATGTGCGCGTTTTTATTAGCTGTATGGTTCTGAAAATCGTGTGTATTTTGAATAATCTCATTCTTGTGGGCAAATGCAACAGTGAAAAATATCTAAAATATATAAATATAAAATATCTAAAAAATTAAAAGTGCGGAATTTCAAGGAAATAATTTCGCAACTACTAAAAAAGTTTTGGTTATGCTGAAACTTTTTTAACACCATTTCTAATACACCATTTCTAATTTGGCTGACTTAAGTTACTATTCCTGCGAAACTTTTACTTGAAAATCACTTGGGATAGTATTAAAGATGCTTCCACATTATATGGGTATCGCATAACTTTATCTGTAGAGAAAAAAATTCACGAAATCATGAAGATTGAAGCGGCATGCTACCTATCCTACCTTAATGCTAAAGCGAACATGGTAATATTATTTCAATAAAACATACTCCAGGTATTTTGTCTCGCTGCACTAAGAAAGAGCTTAAGCCAACGATGCCAGCCAAAGGTTTATCATAAGTCAAACCAGCATAAAGAGCTAAAGCACCACCCATAGAAAAACCGGCAATAATAATTCTTTCAGCAGGTATTCCATTCCGAATTTCCTAGAAAAATTGGCAAAAAATTTGAATTGATACAACTTTAGAAATATTGGACATAAGATCAAATATATTTAAATTTATTTATAAATTTTAAACATTTGAAACATTTGAAACTTCGAGATTTAATTTCTCAATAAAATAAAATTGAAACAAAATAAAATCACCCTGAATATAATAAATAAATCATAGATGAGTTCAGTATTAAATTAAACTACCAGAAAAAAACTCATAAGCCTCACCTTAAATAATCTAAATTTTTACCTCGTCGATCATGGAATGCACGATTTTTACAGATTCATTGATACCATCTTCATCTTCTTCAGCATCTGGAGTTAAACCGAACACATCGAACCATGCCGGCATTTGCATACCAAGATTCAATGTTACAGGTCTTGATGGCCTATAATATTGTTCAAATAAATGTAAGAAATATGGGCTGTCCATTTATCCATTTATTTTTCTTCTTAGTAAGTTTTGATATTGTCAATACAATACGTATCTAGTGAAATATTTCGTTTCATGTAAACTTTATTATTAAAATCGTTAAACAGCCATTAAACAACCATGACGTTAATGACGATGACAAAAATTGATTTGATTTATAATAACCAAACCGAATGATATTCAATAGTTATGAACAAGAGATCGATTAAATATTATAAAATACTAGGAAAAAGAAAAAAAATACTTACGCATGTGGACATATATACTTGACGTGACTGAGACGTAAATCTGTTGCACAAACTGTCGACCAACCATGCCCTGTATCGCCCAAACCATGCAGAAAAATAACCTATAAAAAACTTAATAATTTTAAAATAAAAAATTTAAATTATCAAAACTAATGTCGTAAACTAATGTCGTCTCTATATCTATTTATTTTTTATTAAATTTAAATGCTCAGTTCAACCAATAAAAGAAATAAAAACATCCCATAACAAAATGAGAAAAAAATAGGACATTTTACCTATGAGAACTGTTGCCAAGAACATTTCCTGAGAAAAGGAAAAGTCCAGCGAAAAAAAATAAGTTCCAAAGTGTTTCAAGAACAAGCACTAATGAAAAAAAACTGAATTTTGAAAACCTGCTAAATTACAAAAAAAATAACCGTTGCTGTGTGATTATCCCTTGGTTTTATAATGACAGGTTCTACCATCATTGAATAATAAGATTTTTGTTTCGATGTATTAATTCCAGGCAAAAAATAATTAATAATGTCTCTAATAAATGACGTGCGACGAAATGATGATAGCATAAAAAGCGAAATAAGGATAAAAATCGAAACACGGCCAATAGCCGCAAATGCTTTATCATGAAAATTCAATTTACCTTTTTATATCTCTTTTTTTATTTTTTCCATATATTCACCAGTGTGCTAAATAACGAAATTAAAGGACGTCGAACGCTTCGACAGATATTTGTTAATAAATTAATTTATTGATGAACTGCCAATATTTACTTTTTTGAATAAATAAACACCTACGAACATCTCATTACAGGAAAAAAATGTTAATGTATCATTAATTGCTCACTTTCTCTGTTAATCATTTAAATTAACTAACTTTATAAAACCATTCAAAAATTCATAAAGCAAAATTCTAACCAACAGCAATCTTCATACGAAATATTTGAGGCTTTGAGGCACCACTTCAATAAGAAATCTTAATTTTGCGATCTGAGGAAATAAAAAAAGCATTAAACGTATTTGACTGGTTCTTTACCAGCCTCAACACAATTCACTTCAGAAAAAGCTATATTTTATTATAAAAAAAACTCAAAAATTTTGGTAATATAGCAAAAAATCGATCTTTTTTATCCAAAAATACAGTAATTAGTATTAAAAACTGAAATTATGCCATAAAAATTTTTACATGAATTGATTAACTAATTGACATGTTCCAGAAACTTAAATTAATAAGCTAACGAACACTGGTTGAAAAAAATTAAAAATATTTTCAAGGTTGTAGAGCGAATTGCTTCCAACTCCAATAGACGAATTCAATTCCTTGTCCGCATTATACTTTCGCTTTCTCGGTTGACTGGCTACCATATTATAAGGGTTTACTTATACCAGTGTATTTCAGCAAATTTTCAACAATTTTCAATTGCTTTCATCCACGCTAAGATATTCATTCATCATAGTGTTATAAAGGTCCTATAAAAAATAAAGTTCAAAATTTAAAACAACTGGCAACTTTTTAAACTCTAACTCCAACTGGCAACTTTTTAAACTCTAACTCCCATTTTAAGTTAAGTGCATATCTTAGAAAACAATATCATTTGTCACCATGATTTTTATCAAATGGATTTTGCGTTGAGTAGTTCAAACGTTTTCTAAAAATAGCTTATTTCATCTTTTTTTTTAAATTAAATTTGAAAATTTTTATTTAAAATATTGCAAATAAAATAAATTCGATTAACTCTATAAATCTAAAAAATCTAAAAAAAATCATTTGAATGAAAAAAAGCACAAACTTCAGCTCCTTGATAATCCAGTACTGCAATGGCTGAAACGAACGGTTGCCTTTGAATTGCTTTTCCAAGTTTATGTTTTCTACAAGCTTCGACAATTAGAATATTTGATTTACTGCATAAAACTTTCAGTTTATCCATTCGTTCACGTAATTCCTCTAAAAAAAATATTCACTAAATTATTATTATTTCACAATTTCACAATTATTACAATAATTATTTCACAATTAAATTACGCTTTAAAAAATTTTCAGTAAAGTTTTTGCTTTAGAAAGAAATTTGAAAAAAATAAGAATCTTTATGGTTTTTATAAAAAGGTTTATAATTAATTAAATTAATTAGTCATATTCGATTAAAATAATTTGCCAAACAGAAAATTTCAGGTCAACAAAATAACTTATAAGTCTAAAACTTAAATGCTGCTTAATTCAGATTTCAGACAAATGATAATGACAAATGACAAATGATATTGATATCAATTTCAACCAGTATTTCCTACTAGGGCAATTATATAAAAAAAATAAAGTAAAAATAATGAAAACATCTTTACCCTGTTTGTTTTCTATATCGCGAGCAATAATGACAAATTTAACTGCTCCAAGTTCTAGATATTTGCCTATCTCTCTTAAGCCTGAGATTAATCGACGCTTAGATTTTGCCTAAAAAATTTCATAAATTTTGAAGAAAAAAATAATTATACAAAGACCAGGAAAATCGAAATGATAATTGAAGTGAAATGAAAATCGAATTTTCATTCCATTTGTATTTCAACTTTATATTTGCGTCACAAAATGACAAAATTTTGCTTCGAACCTAACTTGAAGGCTTTGAACATTTTTAGATATATTTTTATGCAAGAAAACTTATTCTTACCTTATCACTTCAAAATCTTATAAACCTTATAAATCTAATAAATCTTATCACTGGTTAATAATAATTTCATAAAAGAAAAAAAAATTTTTTATTTTTTTATTTTATTTTTATTTTTAAAATATTTTCTCATTTTTTAAACGTTAATTTAATTTAAAGAATTATGCCTTCAGGGCAATTTTACAACAATTCAGCAATAAATCAACGGCAGTTTCTGAATTATTTTTGTCATTTGCAAATGAATATTTAAATTTTCTATCTAAAAACATTCAAATGAGAGTTGCACGATAAAAATTTAAAATCACAAATAGGAAATGTCAAAAAAAACCAGTAAAATCGCCCTATTATGGATATAAATTCCGCATTTCCGAATAAATTTTTATTTTTCGTCTAAGCCAAATTAAAATATGAGAATTATCAGAGAAAGAGAGAAAGGAGACTTACTTTGGTTGGATTACTCTTCCATGCTCGATCCTGGAAGAATTTAATTTTCATTAAAAATTCGATAACAGCCTTATCAATTCGTTTCGTTTTATCGCTGCACAGAGGTTTCGTTTGATTCAAACCAGAAAATTCCATTGACTGAAAATTTAACTTCAATTTCGTAAAAAAAAAAATGAATTATTTTCTGTTCTAATTATCATTCTTATCAGTTAGATGGCATTCATCTTATCAATTTAATGACATTCGTCGAATATTGCCATTTTTGAAATAAAAAATTCTATTCGGACGAATGAAGTTGATTCTTGAAAAAATGAAGGGGAAGCCCAGAAAGATCGATTAAACTGACATTCTTCCCAAATAAAATGAAAAAAATCAATATTGATCGATTTCGAAAAAACAAAGCATCCTGGAAGGATGCTTGCGAATTAATGGGCATTAAAGAGTTCACTTCATTCTTCGTTATGGAAAATCAACATGCAAAATTTTTAAAAGTCACAATTTCTGGTTAGACTCGCTCCACTGGATTCGTTATAATGGTGCGAGATTCTTGGCAATCATTTAATAAATATGGACAAGGTGCGTCGCCAGCAGCATTAATGATTTTTAACGACATGCCAAATTGATTGCTTACCCGAGGGAACTGAACTCTCAAGATCGCTCAAGATTACCTACCTATACAATGGCGAAATAAATTTGAAGTCCCCAACTGGTAACTTCGGAATCCTTTTTTTGGGCTTTAGTGCTATTTTCTTTTTATGTACTATTTTCTAATTTATTTTCATTTTAGACTGATAAATGATCTGATAAATGATAAGTGCTAAACAGAATAGTTATCATATTTACTTGTGAAGGAACTCGTAAATTCGTACTTCCTTCTTCTCCTTAGAACACTCACTATTTCTGGTTACGCTCGCTTCGTCGCCTTGGATAACGCAAATTTTGCCGGGGATGTCACTTAGCCGTAGAAGTAAAGAGCTATTCAACATCGCCCCGCTATTTCCCCAATAAAGAAATCCAAATGGGATATATACACGGAAACATGAGAAGAAACCTTAATATAGCACCAAACTTTCTACTTGAAACACCAGGTGCCACATTATCACCCCTTCTCTACCAAAATTTCCAATTTCCCGGGCGACTCGTGTTGACAAATTATATAGCTGTAAAATTTGTATCTTCCTTGTTGATGATCATGTTTAGTCATTTTATTTCATATTTGTTTAGTATGCCTTAATCGTCAACGAAGATTGTTGTTTCATCGTTTCTGAAGAGGTTAGAGGCTTGTCGCGGTTTTTCAGGGAAAACAAGCGTGGTACTTTGCGCATATATTTGAATTTTCGGGAATATTATGTCGGGTAAGTTCCTCTTTTTGTTTCATCATTTTACGAGTTTATTGTGGAAAATGAATTATTTCTTTTTTTCTAAATGCACTCATCGCTTTCGTTTCGGATCACTCGACTAGCTCCTTTCAAGATTGATAAATCACTTGGCTTTTGAAGTTCGGGGAGATAGATTGGCTCAATAAGTTGTTGCTCGATTGGGAGCGCCGATGCTGAGGTTCAGTTCCCCGCAGGATTAAACCTGTATAAAAATCCCGGTGATGCTGGCGACTCGTCTATGTATCTATCGCTAAGGGATTCTCTGGCATATTGCCCAGTGCGATAAGCCAGTGGAGCAAGTTTAACCACTAATGGTGAGGGCTCTTAAAAAATATAAGTATATATATATGTATCCGCGACAGTATTTCGCAAATTTAGTTTGCTTGTTCTCATAGTATTTAACGCTTATTTCTTGTAAACTGTGGTGGATTAACCACTTGCATAAGAAAATAATAATTTTGAGAATAGAAAGTTAAAAAACAAAGTTATGTGGATTGTAATTTTCATTTTGTGGATGAAGGCAAAGATGATGATGTCTATATTATATATGATGTCTGTGACTATATTATATTTATATTACTTAGCAAAAATTTACAAATCATTCACAAATTATAAATTACATTATAAGGGAAAAGTTTATATATCCTATATATCCTATATAAGCAAGATAATTAGATTTTACATCAACACGCTTATAAAAGGCGTATAGGCTAGTGATTAAGGAATATCAAAGGAGCATTTGATCATAATCATACTTTTAATTTTTGTAAATTTAATCCCTAAGTAAATCTAAATAATAATAATAATAAAAATAACAACATGGTTCGAATAGAATGCGTAAAAAAGTTGTACACTTATAAATGAAAGTTAGAAGTCTTAGAACTTTAGAGGTTTTGCTAATCGATATATTTCCAGAAATTCTTTCTGAATTTTTCACCAAATCATTTGCATATTTCCACGAGAATTATTCATATAAAAGTGGACTCACTGAGTTTTGGAATATCGCGATAAATTTTTTGTTTAAAATGCAACTATCTAGTTAAAGCCTTCATATATATAATCAGAAATCGAATAATTTCCTGTTAAACTACCATTTCACTACAATTTGTTTGAGATTTCACTTCAAGTTCCATAGTCTGCATTATTGGAAAAATTTCCTATTATTCTTTTCATCTCTTCATCTTTCTTGAATCATATTCCTTATATTCTTTTAGCGTATGGTGCTACAGCATATAATCAGCAATCTCAGGGTGCTGGGCCACAAGGTGATGAAGCTGCATATCAACAGTATGATCCGGCAACATTAGCTCAATACCAACAGGTTTATAGTTTCTTAAGGTTTTTTTGTGGGCTTTTGGCGAAATCATCATTCATCAAATTCATTCAATAACATTTTTTTTAAAGGGCCATTTTATATTAGGTTTGCACCAATGGCTTATTGTTTTAGCCATTTTTTCAGTGATTCACGTTGATAGGGATATTATTTTATCTCAGATTTGTTCTTATTATTTTATAAAACAAAGGATAACGGAAGGATAAGTATAATAGCACGGTTTTTTTTGAAAACTGCAATGGAAATTTTTGATTATTACAAAAATTCGTAGCAAATAATTTTAGGCATGGCAACAGTATTACGCGGCCATGGGCCAAACGGGCAGTGGGCCAGGTGGAGATGCAGCTGTACAACAGATTGGAACAGGTGTTGATGTTAGTTTAAAAAATTTTATTAACTTTTATTAATTTAAATTTTATTTTATGACATCGAATGTCATTTATTTTTCAAATTTACTGTTTAACTGTTTCGTATATTCTAGAGATATATTCAAAATTTTCAAATATATTTTCAGCCGAATGCGGCTCAATATGCTGGTTACTTTGGTCAAAGTGCCGGCCAAGGAAGTGGCGCACCAAGTGGTGATACTTCACAAGGATATGGTAATACAGTAGGTCAAGGCTCTCAAGATTCATCAGCTTATGGTGGTGGAAATACTCAAATATATGGTAATCCTCCACAAATGGGTCGCCAGATTCAAGATAGGCAAACTCGTGACGATCATAGTGGTTATGGCGGTTACGGTGAACGCGATGAGCGAGGTGCTTATGGTAGAGTTTTGATTTGTAATTTCGATTTAGAATTTGTTGCGTGGAAAATGGTGGAAATCCTGTATAGTTTTGTGTTTGTTAGTTTCTCTAAAATTAGTAAGAATTAATGATAATGAAAATTTTTTTTAGATAATGAACGTGATCGGTTCAATAATCGCGACGATAGAATGGGTCGTGGGAGAGATAGGGGTGATGCCTATGGTGGAAATCGTGAGCGAGAAAGAGATCGTGATTACGGGCGAGGTTGCATTTTCAAATTCTACGAAATATCTCGCTTATTTGGCTTATGACTCATTTATTTGTATTTTATTGAAGATTTTTATTTTAAATTTTGAATAATTTCATTTGAACAAGTTCAGATCGCGCAGATAGAAGAGATCGAAGTCGTGAAGGTCGTGGTGAGCGTGGTCGTGATAGGCCTAGCCGCTGGGGAGATGAGCGAGAAAAAGGTCCGTCTGGTGGTTCAGATTTATATCGAGGAGGGTCAGTATCTTTCTATTCTTTCTTGAAATTGCTCTTGTTTTATCTGGTACTTGACTTTTCCTTTTGAAAATTTATGTTTCCTCTAGCGAAATGAGTTACATACTTGGTTAATATTGGATAGCGCATAGGTTGATTTTTGGTTCTAAATTCAGCTTATAAATGATTCTAAATCGAAAAACTCGCCATCATGATATAAATGATTATAAATCGCAAAAAATCGCGATGCGATTTGGTATTCTGGATCGACTGAAGATTTTTTATCATGGAAAATATTTCTCAAATTTTTAATAGATGAATCGACATAAATAAACGTAAACGAATTGTTATAAAGGAGTTGGATGTTGTGTTGTGTTTTATTCTTATAAAAGTTCTAGAGTTCGAAAACGTTATTTTATCAGGGATATAAAATTGCTTCAAGGTATAATGGTGTGCATCAAGAATGCACGATTAAGAGTTAAGGCAAGGTGAAACGAGTCATATCAAAAATTGTGTTTTTAATATGGTGAACACTTGGATTACGATTTATTCTTCGCGGTATAATTTTCCATTTGCGCCGTCCACAATTTTTCGATATCCAAAAATTAATAAAAGTGCCATAAAATAGTAAAATAGTAAAAAGTTTTAAGAAAGATCATCGAAACGTTTTTTTCTTATTCAATTTTCTTTTTGCTATTTAACAAATTTCTCAATTTTTGATTATTTCGAACTTTTTTGAGTGTATATTAGCCGAATTGACTAGTGACATCGTTAACAATGGCACATTTTTAAAAGATCACTAAAAAGTTAAAGTGGACGGCATTTATCATGAATGATGTCTTAATGCAATGCCTTATTTAATGGTTTAGCGGCAAAAAGGTTTCGTGTCAATCGATCGCATCCATCTGTATAACCCATACATGTATTCATAAAAATGCAGTGGCATATTAATGCCTTTTTTGTCGAAAGTTCACCAAAAAAAAAATTTTGCCGTATTTTCGAAATACGGAGAAAGCTTTCATTTTATAGAAATGGGAAAGCTTTAGTTTTAAAAAAATGTGAAGAAAATAGTGGAAAACGATTCAACAGTGTTTTTCAGGCCGGGTTCTGGAGGCCCGGGTGGACGCGGAAACTTTCAAGGTAGACTTATCAGCAGGAGATATTTATTCTATCCGTAGATAAAAATAGTATGAAAATGGTGGGTTTCATGGGTTTCATTTAAGATATGACGAGGGTAAAATTGTTCAGCAAATTTTTTGATCTTATTGTCCTGCTATAAAGCGTGGTATTCTAATGGTTTTGCCACAAGCGAGTTACTTGTGTGCTAATATGATACTTGAACGTTTTTTGAGAAATTTTTTGGGTTGTTTTGATGCTGAATCAAATTGACATGTAACACTCGAGTTCAAAACAATTTGTTGATAATTTAAACAATTTTGTTGGCTGAATCGTTTGTAAAAATGATTCATTTATATTTTCAGACAGAGGAACACGTGGAAATTATGATGCACCAATGCAGGATGATCAAGTCGAAGTGAGAGAAACTGTATTCATCCAAGGAATACCTATAAGGTTTCTATTTTAAAATAAAGAAAGTAACGATTTTTCGTGGAATCATGGGATTTACTTTTTTTTTTACAATTTTCGCCATCAATCAAATGTCTATAATAAAAAATATTTTAGTGCAAACGAGCAGTTCATTCATGACGTCTTTAGTACTCAAGGTGACATAGCTCGTAATGAGCACACTGGGCAACCTAGAATAAAAATATATACTGATCGAGAAACTAATCAGCCGAAGGGTGAATGTACAATAACATTCGTTGATGCTAAAACCGCTGAACGTGTCATAAATATTTATAATGGTGCGTTTTAAAAAAAGAATTGTGGCATATTTTTAATAGATAGTTTTGAGTTTTCGTGATGAATCTTTATTTTATTTGTTATTTTTGGTTAGGTCAAACATTTCCTGGAAGTGATCAACAATTATCACTCAGTTTTGCGCGATATAAATCGGATAGCACACGTGGTCCAAGTCGTGGAGGCAGCGGGCGTGGTGGTTTCGGCGGTGAGAGGACAGGTTTTGGTGGAGACCGTGGCGGGCGTCAGAGTTTTGGCAGTGATCGAGGTGGAAGAGGTTAATTTTAGACTTTTACATTTTTGAATCAAAAGCTGGCTGGCTGTAAAACCATGAATATATGTTATATAATTATTATTGAACGCAAATATAATTTAGGGTTTGGAGGAGGGCGAGATCGCAGTGGTCGAAATTATGGCGACCGCTACCCTGATGACCGACGCGATCGAGACGAAAGTCGTGGAAGATATGGCGGACGCGGTGGGTTTGGGCCGGATCGTGGAGGTTATGGTGATCGCGGTGGCTTTGGCGATCGTGGTGGTTTTGGTGATCGTGGTGGCTTTGGGGATCGTGGTGGTTTTGGTGATCGCGGCGGTAGGGGCGGTTTTGCCGGAGGACGTTCTGGATATAGTGACCGAGGAGGACGTGGCGGTTTCGGTGACAGAGGTAGTCGTGGTGGAAGAGGTGGTTTCAGTGGTCCTCGGGATGATTTTTCAGTAGCTCATGATGGTAAGCTTTATTTTTATGAAAAATGAATGTAAAAATGGATCAAATGAAGGAAAATTATTTATTTCTGAAGTTTCAGATTTTGCTCCTGGCCGTGGCTTCGGCGGTCGAGGCGGACGTGGAGATAGGGGCGGTCGAGGGAGAGGTATGGTTTTCTTTCACGTTTCTTTCGAAATCTTTTAATTTCATGTATTTGGATGAAACTTGTAAACGTATTTGTTATTATAGGACGTGGTACTGGTGCAAATATGGAAAAACGCCCCAATGATTGGGGTTGTGAATCATGTGGAAATACCAACTTTAGTTTTCGACAAGAATGCAACAGATGTCATACTCCTCGTGGAGGAGGCGTCAGTTTCGGTCCAATGCCCAGAGGTGCAATGGGAGGTGGACGTGGAGGAGGAGGGGGACCACCGCCATATTAAAATTATATTTGAAGACCATATTTTAACTATAACGCCAATTAAAATTCCATTGTAAGGTTAACCACACTGCGCTGGACCTCATTTTTTCATGGCTTTTTAGTTTATCACACACAAAACTTTGGAAATGAGTAAATGGTTTTTAATAAACGATTATTGAACGGCCGGAAGTAGTATATGATCTCTGTTTCGTGGTTGCTTTGTCGGATTAGCCTGTTTTATTTTCTATTTTTTAAAATATGTTATATTTTTCGATGAATTTGATGTTTTTAATATTCATAGAATTTTGAAAAAATTTTCCCATATTTTCCTTTTTCATGACCATGTTCGGTTTTTAATGGAATTTAATCGGATAAAATTTAAAGAATGTTGAATAAATTCAATAATAACTGTTTCATAATTCTTTCTGAAATTGTGATTTCAGGCACTGCTTTAACTATTCTATTTATCTATTGAATTTCGTATTTTGAAATCAGAAGGGAGTGATACAATATCCAAAGAGCAATAAATATTATTAAATAATTAAAGATGAATATAAAGAAAGGATTATAGGACAATCATTTTTGCATAATGAATGCTGAAAAATATGAAAGAAAAACGGAATTCGATGATCATGTTAGAAAATAAACTACAGATTGATTATTAGTATAAAATGATGAAATAAAGGGGGAGGAAGTATTATAAAGGATTGGAAACGCGTTCGTTAGGCGTTGGTTTCGTTATCCAAGCGAGGAAATGTTTCTCGCGAAGTATTCTGCCCATAAGCATCAATCGTCCGCCTCGGGTCTTTGATCGCGCTTCAGCGGTTTCTAAAGATGTGAAAATATAAATGTAATCACGGATGTTTAATAAATACGAATGAGAAACTGCAAAAGCATACGTCTTTCCACTTTGCGTTTCATCATAAACGGAAAGAAAGAAGGCGTGAAATTCTTTCGATGCCACGGGCAATTATATCGAACGCTAAGACTAAATATTCCGAATGGTCTTGCAGTTTGTTGTTGGAAAAACATTGGTGTAATTCTGCAAAAGTGAGTTGGTTATTATTAAAGAGGAGATGGATGAAACAAAAAAGAAATGAAAATATTTAAGAGAAGTGGAATGGCTCAGCGGGTTATTGCATTTCATTTAGGGAACAACAATGTTTTAGCGGAATTATTTCCCGTAGAGACAAACTTATCTTTCAAAAATCAGAATTACGCTAGCGACTCGCCTGCATCTCTGTCGCTAACCGACTAAATGACTAGGAAAATTGCAAGCAAATATCAAAAATTTCAACGAAAAACATCAAAAATAAAAATCTGCGAATTCCGCAAAACGTCAATATAAATTTATATTTAGATTTCGGGCTGATGGTACCAACTGTATAAGAAAAATTCCCTTTCCCCTTCTACCTCCTCACCACCGCCAGTTTCTTCTTTCCTCCACTCATATTGGACATTGATTGACTTATCTGCTAGCTGCTAACCGACGCGCTGCTGACTTCAGTCTTTCGATACAAATTAAGAGGAAATCTGCCATCTAGTGATTAATACGCACCAATAATCCGCGGCCTTTCATGTTGCGGACGTCATTTCACCTTCGCTTCAGTGGTTGCGAGGCAATTCGGCGAAGGTGGTAATGCTAGGTGGTTGGTTGGCTAAGGTTGGTTTTCCAAGGAAATAGATAACTTGAATTTGTAACGTAAGGTAAATTTTACTAATTTTGCTGATTAGCTCGAGTTTTTTTTTAAAATATTAATCGATTTTTGACATTAATTTGTGAATTTCAGTTGCGATTTTCGAAACGAAACAACCATGCAAGCGATCATGAAAAATCCTATTTTATTGACAATGCATGCATTTCATTTTATAATTTAACGAAATTTGATTTTTCGAATTCGATTATTTCAATTATTTCTCGATTATTTCACAGAGTTTCTCGTTGTTACAAATTGAATTGAGACGAGCACATGGCTGTTTTCTTTTGCATCGTTTTCCTTCTTTATATAATCTTTTAAATGTTCGCCCACTGCAAAAAATTATTTGCGAAATTATAAAAATATAAATAAACAATAAAAAATAAAAAAAATATGGAAAATAATGAAAAATGAATAAATAAAAAATATTAAAAAAGTAAAGAATGATAAGAATGAAGAAAGTGAAGAATGATAAGAATGATAAATGAATGATAAATTAATGAAAATTAATTTAAATGAAAAAAGTATTGAAAAAAAAATCCCATAAATTTATATTTTTGTTTTGTGTTTGTATTTTGTATTGTTTATTATTGTTGTTATTATTATTTATTGTTATCTATTATTATTATTTATGATTATTATTTATTTATTGTTTATTATTGTTATTTATTTTCATTATTATTTTTTATTATTATTATTAATTATTGTTATATCATTTTTTATCATTAAGGATACCGAATTTATTGGAATGAAATTTAAAGGAACCTCGGCCAAAATTTGCAAACCGTATATCGAATATATGTTTCTTCTTCTGTTTCGTATTCATAATAATAATTTTCACCACTGAATTGATCGTAGTATTTGCTGATCGGACATTTAGCATTTGTTGCACAACCCACTTGTGTAGTTAATCCCGATGCGACCTAAAATTCTATAGGAAACCTCTTAGTTGGGTGAGGGGTGGGGAGTGGAGGGGGGAAATTCGCTAAAAATTTGTTCAGAAAGAATAAAATAATTAGTGGACCTGTACAAATTCGCTTAGCACTGAATTTGTGCCGAATTTAGCAGTTAAGACGCTTCTGCCATAATAAAAATCCGCAACATTTTTTACCCATTCTTTTAGTGCTTCTTGCACCGCTTCAGCTAAATTATAAATAAAATATCACTTATCACTAATTCATTTATCATTTATCTTTTCCTTCGTATTGTTAATTACATTTTTATCAATAATGTTTTGTCAATAATATTTTAATAATTCAATTTTTATTATTTTTTTTTTGTCATTAAAAATTTTGAAAAATCAAATCTCTTCTTTTTTCCTATAATTTTTCTCGAAAATTTTATTTAAACTTGGATTTTATTCGTATGAAACGTGCTTACTTATTCGTCGAAATGAAACATGCGTAGCTTCACCAATTTTTTGTGAATTCGTTTCTGTCGCATTGAAATCGCATTGTTTAACTTTCTTTGTGGCCAAATCTTCTAAAGTATCGTTCCACATCTAAAAATGAGGACGTAAATTTCGCGAGTTCGCATAATTCATGCAAAAATTCTTGGTTATTGGTCAATCGCCTAAGGCGATTATCGTTTTGCCTCCATTTGTATTTATTCAAATTAGTTATCTATTATTTAGGCTATTATTATTTCCATTATTTTTAGGTTATTTATTTAGGTTATTTATTAATTATTAATTATTAATTATTAATTAATTATTAATTATTTATTAATTATTTAAGTTATTTTAAATTATTTCCATTAAATTGGTTGTTGTAAAGCAGCTATTTTTTCATTTTATTTTCTCATTTTATTAGAACTTTTTTATTTGACTTCCTTTTTATCGTTGCTATATATGTGAATATTTCCATTCGCCTTGCTTGGCTATTGCTACAATGAATAAAATAAGTATTTAAAAAAGTAATAAAGTAATAAGTAAAAAGTAATAAAAATAATAAGTAAATAAAAGGTAATAAAGTAATAAAGTAAGTAAGATAAGAAATGATAAGAAATGATAAATATTTAGAATTATTTTAAAACTGACCATTTTGTAAATCTCTCTACCAGCTGGAAGTTTGCCGCTTCTGGTCGAAATATTTCCTCTCGCAAGTTCCATCCGAAATTTATTTATGGCAGTAAGAGCTTTTCTACGATCAACAGAATAAAATTTTTCGCTATAGCGTAGGTTACTTACTGTATCTCTGATTGCTACAAACAAATTTTTAAAAAATCTCCTTAATAGTGATTTAAAAATAAAAGTAAAAGAGAGAGTGGATATGCGTTCATGTTCTTGCATTTTGGCATTGATGTAATTTTGATATGTAAAAAAGGAAAAAATTCCTATAAAGTAGAAAATTTACCGAATTGCTGTTGGAAAACGGCACCTCCTGAAATTTATTTTTATTAAAATTTTTTCATAAAATTTTCAGAATAAAATGAATATTTTTTAGACAAAAAGACAAAAAAAAGGAAAGAATTATATTTTGAATATATCTAAATTTGGAATATTGCTTGAACACTTAAAAATTTTATCACTGATAAAAAATTATCAAAGATCTTCCTTGAATTATTATATTTTATATATTATTATATATAAACTACAATGTTTTTGCATTTTGTATCGTAAACGTAGTTACTTTTTTTAAAATTAGCAATTCTTTTAAAATTTTAATCGCAATAAATTATCGCATCCATCATGAACGTAGATTTTATAGTTAAAATCGAGGTAAACAGTGGTGTTTAAATATGATTCTAGTGATATATTATTTTATACACACTAAAAGGATCAACGAAATTGCACCTCTTACACCTTTTGACTTGACTAGACTTGGTTTCAGCTCGGAACGAGAGTTATCGTTACTTACAGCTTGCAACCAACATTTGCCGCTAGCCACTTAAATAATTAATATTATTTGTGAAATGTAAAAGTAAAATATGAAAATAATAGTGAACGAATTGATAACTTACTTATCGAGAAAAGAAATAATGCCAAAAATGAAACGTCAAATCGCATTGCCGCTGCACCGGGATGTAATTTTTTTTTTTTTTGTTCCAAATGGTTCCTAGCGAACCTTTTAAAGCATTTTCTACGTGAATTTTCATATAATAGTATTCATATTTTGTAATCATTTGGTACTTTTCTATTCACTCGATTTGCAAAAATCTGATACAATGAAAATGAATGCACTAAAAAAAGAAATGACGAAATTTTTAGTTATTCTAGTGGAAATGATAAAAAAAAAAACAAATGATAAGATAAAAAATGATTATAAAAAAAATGCAAATAAAGAGAAAATGAAAAATAGAAAATTCAAAAGTAAATCGAAGCGAAATTTGGCAAATAGGATGAGAATAGATTATTATTCTTTTTATTTTATCATTATTATATTATCATATCATTTCATTGAATATTTGAATAGGATTCATTTCTTTTCTTTTTTTCTGTGGATTTTTTAATTTTTTGAAAAAAAGCGAAATTCAGTTATTTGCAATATATTGTAACAAAACATATCAAAATAGATTTGATAAATTTTTTGAAAAATTTGCAAATATTTGCAAATGCTGATAAATTAATAGATTAAAAATATTTTATTGTAGATTCAAATTTAACTGCTGTTTAATTCATGGATTAATCATGGAGACTTTCTCAGATGTTACAAAGAGTGGAATTCTTCTGGTTAATGGAACCCGTCTGAATTTGTATGGCAATTTTTAAAGAAGTCTCACTGGCCAATGGAATCAGCCAAATAAGCAACAACTTGAGTGATTTTTGAAAATTTCAGTATATTGTGGCCTTCACTGGATTATTATTTCACTCAAAGCTTAGCCCAGAGCTGCTCAATTCGGAGCGCCGATACTGCCATTTCCTGGTAATAGTAAACCTGTCCAAAAATCCAGTTTATGCTGACAATTCACCCGTACTTCTATTGCCAAGGGAATTCCTGGAATATTTTCCCAGTGCGATAAGGCAACGAGTCTAACCAGTAAAGGCTCATTTAAAAAAGAAAAATTCAGTTATTATTTATTATATTTATGACACTGATGCATCGATGTGGTGTACTGGCAGGATAATTAATATTGAGACTGGTGTTGGTTCGAATCCAAATAGCCTAAATAATACGTTTCGTAGCGCACCAATGGAAATGGGACAAGATGAATGTTTAGAGCGGCAGCTAAAATTCTACGGCCAGTAAGAGTAAATCTGCTCTTCAAAAAACCAGATAATACTGGGCAATGCACCTGTGAATCACTGGTAAAGCTCGCCTGGCATTACTGGCCATTCGAACATGGACAAAAGTATGGGTGGCTGTTTAAGCATGTGAAATTTGTGAAATGTTCGGG